AGTAAATGTTTAATAAATTTTAATTTAACAAAAGCAAAACAATTTCATCATAGTCATTATGCTTATAGTAAATATTTACATGGGGTGTTTCATATTCTGGAAGAAATTGCTAAGTATATTGTAAAATCATGTGTAAGATGTTTATCTCTGTTACCTGTTCCACATTTTAAGGTGAGTCCTAGAGGATTATTGCCAAATTATATTTGACAAGTAAGTGTGGCTCACATTCCCAAATTTGAAAAATTGCAGATTATTCATGTTATTATTAGTATCAGTCCTGGTTTTGTGGTAATATCTTGTTTATCTGAAAAAGCAACTAAATATGTTATAAAACATTGTTTATTCACTTTTTCTTTATTAGATATTCCTAAAATAATCTAGACTAATAATGTTCCTGGCTATATCAGCAAGAGTTTTCAAAATTTTTATAAATATTTTACTATGTGTCATAAAACTGAGTTTCCTTACTATCCTCAAAACCAAGGTATTATAGAATGTACTCTTTCTACTATCAAAAATTATTTAAATAAAGAAAGAGGGAATACTATATCCCCTAAAATTTAAATAATTATATTTCTCATTTACAAGTTATTTTAAGTTTTTTAATTTTGGATGACAATAAAAGGTCTGCTGTAGACAGACAATGGTGAAACATACAGTAAAGGTATACTGAAATTAATTGGAAGGATGCATTAACAAAGCAATGAAAAAGACCCGACCCTGTGTTAATATGGGGTAGAGGCTGTGTTTGTTTTTCCACAGAATGAACAAGCTCCTAGTTGGTTGCCTGAGCGTCTTGTGCAGCATTACTCTGATGACTACGGAAGAGACCTATTGGGTGTATGTCACAGATCCTCCTCTCCTGCACCTGGCGACATGGAATTGAGTCCCTCATACTTATGCTTTAGGATATCCCTCTAATAGTCATATTAAATGGGAAGAAAGACCATTCAGTTATTCTGGGTACACTTTAGGGTATCCTATCTGCTTTACCAAAAGTAAACCAAAAAATGGACGCTTATTTGTTAATAAGATGCAAAGAATATCTTCAGAGTTAGACAGCGGAAACCCATCATGGACTGTACAATTGAATTATTTGGCTTTCGACTGACAAGCTTCCAGATATGGTGCAGGTAGAATAAACACCATCTTTCCAGTAGATGCCAACTTTCCCTCATGTTTTGAGAAAGGTGGTGCTGGCATCTGGCAATCACTTTGGAGAAAATGTCATCATAACAGCGCTATCATAATCTTTAAAGGACCGACAGTTGGAATGCTACCTCGCTTGGACTACCCTAGGTTATTAAACTGATCACCTCTTCATACATATGGTCCTGGACTTCCTATGAAAGGATTTGTAGGAGGAATGTGGACTATAGATATGCAGAACTTTCAAACTGAATTGTGGAAATTAGTTGCCAGCATGGATTTGATAAATATTTCCTGTACCCCAAAAGATAAATGTAAGGGAGATAATAATCACAGACGCCAAAGTCCTATCATGTGTACCTGAACCATATGTCTTATTAATTGGTAATAATGTAATCACTGGTGATTATCCAAAATTTAATGTGAGTTGTTCTCGGTATAAAATTTCTAACTATATTAGCTCTGTTACCTAAGATGATTCAGTTGTTATTCTAAAGAATCCTCCTTTTGTTATGACACTGGTAAAGTTAAATGATATTTGGTATGAGGATAAAGGCTTGCAAATTTTAATAGAGTTATATACGTTGTCATTAAGAACCAAAAGAGCTGTAGGTCTGGTTACTGTAGGAATTGTTTCTCTTATCTCTATGATTGCTACTGTTTCTACTTCTGCTGTAGCTTTGAATCAAGAAGTCCAAATGACTAGGTTTGTAAATGGGTTAATGCATGATGTGACAAAAAATTGGGTAGAGCAAGAGAATGTGGATGAAGTTATGAAACGAAATTAAATGCTTTATAAAAAAAAAAGAAATTAAATGCTTTATATGATATAGTAAATGTATTAGGAAACATGGTACAACAAATTAGAATGATAGGAAAGTTAAGATGCTATGTGGCCTATGACTCTACCTGTGTTACAAAATTATAATACAATGGCTCAGATAATGATTGGAGAGAAATAGTATCACATTCAAAAGAAATTTGGATGTCTAATAATGATTCTCTTGATTTGGATGATCTGCATCAAAGAATTATAGAAATGCAGAATACCCCAGTTATAAATATTTCCCCAACTGAACAAGCCAGTCAAATATTTGAGAATCTAAAAACTGGTTTTCTTCAGTAACTTCATTTAGAAATCTTTTTACGATTGTTGCTCTTTGTATTGTTATCATAAGTATACTATGGTTCCTCCCTTGTGTTGGTCATATAATAGCCAAGTGTTATAGAGAACTGCTGTGTAAAGTGCATGGAATTCAATTTAAGGCCCTCCCCAGACAAATGCAGGATGTGTAGCCAAAGACTGGCAAGGAATGAGACTCGCTCATGATCCTAAGACAGGGAGTAGCATTGACTGCTATGATCCCAAGGACAGGCAACTTGAGTTTGAGGTCTCATATCCACCTAAGACAGGCAGCATCCCATATTTTATTATATTAAGAGGGAGGAGCTGTCAGGGCCTGGCTAACCTGCAAAGCAGGATCAGCAATGCCTTGTAAAAACAGCAGGACCACCTATCTTGGCTTGACCATCTGTTCTACAGAAAACAACTCCAGGAAGCAGTATGCTAATGAATAGGGAGTGACCAAAGGTTTCTGAATCTTAGGAATGTGATACTGTTTTGTCTTCTTAAAATATAAGATATCCAGGAAGAGGTCTTTGTTTTGTGTGAATGTCTGGGAATGTTTGATCTACCAGTCAACATCTCGGACAAATAAGAGATAATGCGATTACCCCTGCAGGCATGTTCCTAAAACAGTGTATATCTACCTTTGCTGGAATATTAAACTTGCTATTTGTCATCAGCAATTAGCCTCTCCGCATCTTCATTTCAGCCTGGTGCCTCCTTTTGGCGGAATTCTCCCGACATCGGGGCTGGGTCCTCGATACTTTCTCATGTGCATCTCTGGAGGGTTTGAACTGCCAGCCTTTTGGCTAACAGTTCAGTACTTAATTGTTAATAAACCAGTGAAAAGGGGCAATGAGAATTGTTAGTATGATGACATTGCCAATGACAGGAGTACCTTCTGCTGGTTTTAAGTCAAGGATAAGTGAAATATTTAAAAACCAGTGGTTTGAAATACAGAGGAGCTCTACGTTTTTGTTTTTTTTTTTTTTTTTTAGGATGGCATCCACAGCTATAAAGCACAGGATGAATATCTGACCATCCAATTTTTAATTCATGCACAAAATACATTTCCCCTTTCAGACCTATGATCTATTTGGAAGGACTTTCCAGGAAGGCTTCCCAAGACCACTCACCATAACTTCTGTGTTCCTAAGCACATTCTGATACCCAGCTGGATGTAGGACAATGCCACTGGGGTTCGTATACACACCATGGATGTGCAACACGCTCAGTTTCCGCTTCTCCTGAGCCCACTCAAGGACCTGCAGGGCACAAACAAGGCTCAGCAAGGCAGAGGAGCTGCCTCAGGTTGCAATGGGCAAGAGGCTATTTTGGAGGAATACTCTTGACCTAATTCCCCAGCTCCATGATATAATACACAAAAAAGACAATGGAAGTGACCTGAGTTTCCCTTTCTTGTGTCACTGTGAAGACTAATGCAGCAAGGTTGGTATTCCTCTTTCAACCTTAGTATCAACACTTAATTTGTCTTCATCTGCAGAAACAACAGGGCAGGGGCTTTTTCCACTGATGGCATACGTGAGCACAGAGAATGGCTGTTTCAGTAACTTGCCTGAGTCCAAGCTCATGTGTTGGCCTCTGTCACTGGCACTCCAGACTTGCTGTAGTCAGTGGGGTATTAGTAAGCACAACATACACCAAATGTTTCTGGAAGTTTGGTTGGAATCAGTTCATCTTTATAGCAACATACAAACTTTCAGTGACAGAGGACAAGTAAGTGGTAAAAGAATTACTTCAGTCACTGCTGAGCTACTTAAAAGTTACCCCCAAAAAAGCAATTAATCAGATGACAATGATAACAATAGCCACTTTTAATCTATGGGCCCATTTCCTTAAAGACCTGAGGCAGTATGAATGTATTAATTTTTTTTTAATTTTATTTTATTAATTTTCATGAACATTTACAGAGATTTTGGATTTTCATTCATTCATTGTTGCACTTTTCTCCCTGGCCAGCCCTCCCCCACACCCCAACAGTTTGCTCTTCTCCTTGAAAAGCAAAAGAAAAATTCCTTCTTCGGTATACAATTCCCCCGCACCCCTCCCACTGCCCCAAGTACACTCCAATATGCAACCTTATTTCTGGACTCCTGTGATAACCATAATACCCCATCATATATAGCTTTTTTTCCCTTTTTTAAAAATTTTATTTTGTTACTTTTAGTGAACATTTATAGAGATTTTGGATTTCCATTCATTCATTGTTGCACTTTTCTTAAGAAACAAAGTCAACTAACTCATTGCGAGTTGGAATAGCCCCAACCCTCTAGCAATATTTCCAGGAGGTAAACTGCCCAGAAAGAGATTGTCCATTTTCTCTTGCAGAGCAATTTTTTTTTTCTTTCCTGGTAGTGGAATTGTTGGGACAAATGGTATTTTTATTTGCAACTTTTTGAGAAAGTGCCAAACTGCCTTCCATAGTGATGGATTGCACTATTTTGCATTCCTACCTGCAGTGAATCAAGGTTCCAATCTCCTCACAACCTCACCAACATTTCTTGTTTGCTGCTCTTTTGGACTTTGCTATAGTTGCTGGGGTGAGATGATATCTCATAGTTGTTTTGAATTAATTTATTCTCAATCAAATCCTGGAGAAGGGTGACCTGGCTTAGGAACCCATATAGAGATTTAGAATTTGAAGGTTACTAAGCCCCATTTTGACTACCAGTCTGGCTGTAAACATTGCTTTTGATGTGAGCAAAACTTTAAAGGTCATCTTCAGGATCAAGGTTAAAACAAGGAATATATTTATCTGAGAGAGATGCTTGATTTTAAGAAGACCTGTATAGCTCTTTGTTGTTATGTACTGTCAAGCTGGAACCAGTTCGTAGCTGACTATCCAAGTTTTTTTTTTTAAAAAAAATACATTTAATTAATTAATTAATGTGTGTACCGTCAAACTGGATCTGACTGGTACAGGAGGCGATTATTTCTCCTTCCTCAGCAGAGCTTCTGGTGGATTTGAACCGTGCACCTCTGGGATTGCAGTGCAGTTTCCTGCCACTAGGCCACCAGAGCTCGCCTAACCAAGTTTTCAGAAGCTGTAAATTGCATGGGAGTAGACTGTCCAATTTACTCCGCGGAGCAGTTGGTGCAGAAATTGCACGGAAATTCTTCAAGCTCCTAACTTTTTAATTTAATCATTTGTTAATTCAAAAAATATTTACTGAGCACGTATAGCAGGTGCTATTTTAGACATTAGTTAAGAAAGGCTGACATGGTAACCAGTCAAAACACATACATACAAAATGAAAAATCTAAGACTGTAGTAACTGTTGTGAAGGAAATGGACAAGGGATGAACTCAGAAAAGTGAAGGGATTGTCTTTAAACCATTTCTTTACACTTGGATTTCTCTTGTTTTTTTTTAGCTAAGCATCAAGGCCAGCAAAACCCACAGGGTTAGTACTAAAGTTATATAGTTCTGACAGAGGGAGTAGTGTAGCCATGAGAGTCAGTGGCTTACCACATAACTACTCAAACTTCACTATAAAACAACACAGACAGCCTCTCTGAGAAAAGTGAAGCATAGAAGGAAAGTTAAAAACCACAGATCAGGAGAAATGAGACCTTATGTATTCATCTACACCTCAAATTCATTATGGTAGATGGCTTCAGTATGGTCTATGTCTAAAATCAAAGAAATAAAGTCTGCTGAACCTTCCACTGACACTAAAATGCAACCTGACTGGAACTGGGGCTGGAAATCCTAGGAAGTTGTTCTTCTGGACATTAGTTTTCATATATTTCCAATGTATAAAGAACTATCAGTACACGTGAGTTCTAAGAAATCCAGCATACACCTGATCCTGTAAAGTGCTAGAGACCTTTCATGTAGTTCAAGGGAATTCCTATAACCTTGAGTTATTAGGTGCAGTTACTAAGTTACAGAACTGAACATTTTCAAGAATATTTTACTGTATACTAGAGAGGGTTAAACCAGGCTACTCCCTGGAGGTAAGGATTCTGGGGCTTCATCTGACATACTTTGGACATGTTGTAAGGAGAGACAGGTCCTTGGAGAGGGACATCATGCTTGGTAGGGTAGAGGGACAGCACAGGAGGGGAAGACCCTCTATGAGGTGGACTGATTCAGTGACTGGGGTAATCGGGATGGGTGTGTCAGGGGCAACACCATTGGCACAGTATAGAGCAGGGCTTAGGGCTGTTGTACATAGGGTCGCTATGAGTCGCAAACGACGGCACATAACAACAACAACAATATTAGTAACTAATGGCAAACAACCAACCAACTAGCCTCAAACAAAAATAAGAATCTTTTTAAATGCCAGCTAGAAAACATTTTCTCATTCATTCATTAATTTATTCTTTTACCTTTTTCTCATCTGTAAGATCCAGGGATTCAAGTTGTTTTCCCTGATCTGCTGCGTAGAGTTCCAGGAGATTATCAAAATTTGTAGTCAATACTAGGGCTCCATTTTCCATCAGATGAAGAACTGACTGAAGTAGCTGTTTTCCAGATTCCTCCATCTTTGATTCCAAGTCATCAAATACTTCATATAAACAGTCCTTGAAAAATGTGGATCGAACATTACTGGTTCTCTAGAGAGAAATTTGAAAGAGGGAAAATGAATTCAAAATGTCTTGTTAATTATTTTAATTACACCTGCCAATTTTAAATATAAAAGATACTTTAAACTTAAAGGTAAAATATTAGGGTTGTAATAAGGAAAATGGAATGGTATGTACAAAGTTTTTAGAATTATGAGCACAAGGGAGGTATTATCTCTCTCTCTCTCTCTCACACCCACACACACACACCCACACACCCCCCCACCCCCCACACTCCCTCTGAGGTGTGGACAATGGACTGGTTGTCACAATGACTTTCTAAGCCACATGACTTAACGGGAATATGGGAAGACTGGCCAGTTTTACCATCCTGTCAGGACTGAACTGAGTAGACTTAGAGAAGATGGGAATCTTGCTACCAACAAGAGGCACAGAGTACAGTGTGCATGCAAGCTGCTTCTCAGGCTGGGAACTGGACAAGAGCCCAGCAATAGGCAGAGAACCAGAGATTACTGCTCCACAGAGTGAATGACAGGAACTGTTGTCCAGGATTGCTGAAAGACTGAGGGACGTAGCATAATTGGTAACACTGACCCAAAGATGCAAGGCTAAAGGTAAAGTGGCCTGCCAGCACGCTTGAGAAACTGTTCCAACCAAAGAAGTACATCTAGTTTCTAAACTTAATGGTTACCTAGGAACTTCCCTAATCTACCCCATAACTGTGAGTATGGTCTATGAGCTCTATGTGGATACTATAAGAGATTACTGGGCCCAAAATGAGCAGCAAGAGGCCTGGATGGACAGGTAGTGTCAGACTGGACAGAAGTAACTGTGGGGAGTGCAGGGCATATCTTCCCTCATGGCAGTTCTGTACTGTGTATGTTCTAAATGGGGACTGGTGCCCTCTGTCAAGCCAGTGGTCAGACTTGGTTGTTCCCACTCTTTTTACAACAGGCACTTTTACAGAGTGACATAATAGGCAGGGCAAAGAAATGTGACTACCAGAACAATGAAATAGCTGGGCAAAAAATCATACTTGGCAGCTGTCTTTGAACCAATTCTGCCTCACTGAGACCCCTTGGTGTCTCGTAGGCTCTCCGTTGACTGACTTTCTGGAAGCAGAATGCTAGGCCTTTCCTCTGTGGCATCTCTAAGTGGTTGAACTTCCACCCTTGACACCATCCAAAGGCAGTATCCACCTTCTATTGAGACCTCAGTACCATTATTGTAAAAACAGAAGGATAACTAGAATAAGATTTGTATAAATAAGCAAAAGGGGAAGTGGACAAAGGGAAAGCTGGAAATCACTAGGGTTACAAGAGCTTAGTGGGAGGACTGGGAGATGGGTTAGGGAACGGGAAAAGTCAATAAAAACCTGAGAAGACGGTAAAATAACATGCGTAGATCAAAGGTAATGAATAATAATGGGGTAAAGTATATATGAATGGTTGTTTGAAATAATGTAAATGAGGGATTATAATGAACAAAGTGTATATGAAACACAATGTAAATGAATTAATGCACTAAAACTAATTAAAAAACATTCTTTAGGGAAATTTGCTATGAAGGACCTCTCCAAATTCTTAAAAAACAAGGATGTCAGTTAAGAGACCAAAGTATGTCTACATGAAGGCATGGGCTTTTAATTGTGTCTTATGCATCTGAAAGTTGAACAACGAATAAAGACTAAAGAAGATCTGATGCCTTTGAGTTGTGAACAAAGAAACCTGTCATGAACTAAGTACAATCAGAGTTCTTAGAGGTGACAAGGATGATGAAAACATGTCTCCCTTGCTAAGGGCATATTTTTTTTCCCCTTCAGTTTGTGTGTATGTGTGTGTGTGTGTACCATCAAACTGGATCTGAGTGGTACCGGAGGAGACTGCCCCTCTTTCTATAGCAGAGCATCTGGTGGATTCGAACCATGTACCTCTGGGATTGCATGCCTTTGGGTTAGCAACACAACTTCTTATCATCTAGGCCATCAGAGCTACCTCTGAATTGACGCTTGAAAAGACTGTCTGCCTAGAGTTCTAAGACTATTCAGTTGATTAAAGTCCACAAAGAGAACCAAGATTTCACTGGCAACAAACCCACATTTTTCACTTGCCAGAACTATCTATTCCTCCTTACAGTTTGTTAATGAGTAGCACTGGATACATTTAAAGAAGACTGAATCATATGGCCTTTACTCAATCCTCTTCAAATTGTTGATTCTATACCCAAGGACAGAGCACAATTAAGAATAGATACAGTTGTTAAAGTGAGTCAGAAGGCAAAAAACAGAAAACCAGGAAATAGTCCTAGACAGTAGAGATACTTTTAGTTAGCACATAACAAAATGTGTCCATCAAGGCCATTACTGGTATGCTTAGCTGCAGACTTGGGCTTTAGACTTGGTGTTCCTCAGAGCTAGCTGACTTTGTGGTACAAGTTTCAGAGTCTTTTTTGCCATCCATTATGGTCTTTTCTTTCTCCTGTCTTTTAATGATCTTTTGCTTTCTTTGATGTCATCTGATCTTCTATCCTTAGTGTTCAATGTCTCATACCTATTTTTGAAATGATTTGTAAATTCAAGTGGAACAGATTCAAAGTTGTAATGGACATTCTTTGATTTTCGTAACTTCAATTTGAACTTGTTTTGATTGCTGATATTTACCTTCTGCAGTGATTCTTTCCACAGATGTTGTCAATCTGATTCCTTTGCAGTCTATCAGTGAAGTCCATGTGTATATAAACACTGTGCTTCTTAAAAAAGGTGTTTGCTATGAATAAATCACTGAATGTACAAAAGAAATTTATCATGTAGGGAATTGCCACTAAGAATGTAACTTCTCCCTTGCCTGTTTTGTCCCTGGCAAAATCCAGTAATTTGTTCACAGATTTGCTATGATGAATACCTATAATAAAGGCTATAAAATACTGCATTTTGCCACTGCTGAAAAGATACCAGACACTAATCATTTGTAACCAGACTCCTTATTTCTTAACATATAGTTACTTTAAATATTTGCTTTCCCAGACTCAACTTAAATATATCTGCCTTTAAACTAATACTATTCTCTTACGTACTTTGAAGAGATACTTGATAGCAGAATTTCCCAATGCAATATAACTTTTGATTTCTTTCTCATTAGTTCATTTACAAAATTCAAATACATTGTTTTCAAGAACAAATTATTTTCATTTCCTTCACCCCTCTAAACCATCAAACTGTACAACCCCATGATTAATCCCCCCTCCACCTGTACATCCTCATCCCTGTTTCCAACCTCTCCCACCCTTCTTGGCTCCTTATTCTACAATAATGGTTTTATACAATATTTATCCTTGTGGGACTGAGTTAGGTCACTCAGCATAATGCTCTCCAGTCCCTCACAAGTTAGGTAATAATTTACAAAATCAATGCTACTGTGTGCTGCATGTATTCTGTTGTGTGACTATATCATAATTTCTCAATCCATTTGTTGGTAGTTTGACATCTGGGCTATATCCATGTAAATTATGTTGCTATGAACATTGATGTACAAATCTCAGTTTGTGCCTCAGTTCTCATTTTCTCAGGGTAATGGTAGTGGAATAGCTGGGTCATATGGAATTTCTAAGTTCAGCTTTTTGAGGAAGCACCAAACTGCCTTCCAGAATGGTTGTACCATTTCACAGTCCCATCGACAATGTATAAGAGTTACTCTCCAACATTTATTACTTGCTGCCCTGTTAAACTTTGCCACTGTTACTAGAGTGAGATGGTACCTCATTGTGATTCTGATTTGCATCTCTTTTATTGCCAGTGATCTGGAGCATTTGATGCAAGTCATTGTATTTTCAATTTCTTCCTATGTATCTGAAAGTTGGGCCATGAATAAAAGAAGTCTTTGAACTCTGGTGTTGGTAAAGAGTACCAAATATTCCATGGACTGCCAAAACACAAATGGACATGTCTTAGAGTACTGGTTTGAAAGGGATGGATAAATCAGAAACTTGCTCTCTAAAAGGGGGGCATTAGAACATGAGGCATGAAGCAGCTGGCTTACACATTTTCACACAAGTATTTATTAGGAAGATTATTTTAAGTCAGAGAAACCCTCCACCAATATAAATGAGCAAAATATAATTTACATGAAAGACTATCAAATACAATGTACATGCATGAAACACAATGTATATGAATGATAAAAATAGTAATAAAAATATTCTTCTGGGGGAAAAAAACCGTATATCTGTCTACCACTGTTTAAGCCGCACTGAAGACACTGGCAAAAATAAGGCCCCAGGAACTGATGGGATACCAACTGACATGCTTTAACTAACGGATAGATATGGCCATGAATGTGCTCATCAGTCTGTGCCAGGAAACGTGGAAGAAAGCTAGTTGACTGGAAAGATTCACATTTGTTCCCATTCCCAAGAAAGGTGAGCCAAAAAAATGTGGACATTACACTGGCAGAGTAACTTCTAGAAGTTCAGGCTGGGTTTAGATGAGGCTATGCACCAGGAGCTGATGTCAAATAGATCCAGGCTGAAAGCACAGAATACCAGAAGAATGTCTATATGCCTTTGCATAGTCAATGAAATAGTCAATCCACTGTGTGGATTATAATATACTAGGTTAACATTGAGAATGGGAATTTCAGAACATTTAATTAGGTTTATAGAAAACATATATAGACCAAGAAGCTGCTGTTCACAGAGCAAGGAAATATTGCATGGTTTAAATCAGGAAAGGTATGTGTCAGAGTTATATCCTTTCTTCATATCTATTCAAGCTGTATGCTGAACAAATAATTTAAGAAGCTAGACTTTTTTTTTAATTTTTATTTATTATTTTTGTGTGAGTGTACCGTCAAATCAGATCTGACGGGTACAGGAGATTGTCCCTCCTTCCTCGGCAGAGCATCTGGTGGATTCGAACCGTGCGCCTCTGGGATTGTAGTTGCAGCTCCTTGCCACTAGGCCACCAGAGCTCCCCTAAGAAGCTAGACTTTATGAAGAAGAATGTGACTGGAGGAAGACTCATCAACAACCTTCAT